AGAGGGTCGTACAGGGGTATTCCCGTGATGCGTGATTGGCTGATTTTATTTTCCGTGAAACGTGAATTTAATAAATTATTCTTCGTGATCCGTGATCTGAAGGTTTTGCGTGACCCGTGAAGAACTTGAATTATTAACCGATATTCGTGATTTCACCACTCTATTTGGCGTGATTTTGAGATGCGAGTGCTTCGGAAGACTTATTTTAAGACTGAAAACATCAAATGTGACAAGTAACAGACTTCGCTTTAATTAAAGTAATCAATTGTGCAAATTCACGTGCTTTACATGCCTATCATAGATGAGATGTCTATTCCTATGCCTATGGTCTCCTATGTCTCTGGAGGTCAAAGGACAGTGATCCAAAACATCGAAACATCCGAGACATGGAGGGGACGAGTACGTTTAGTACGATGAGGGTCGAATGTATTGTATTTTACGTTGACCCTGAAGTGATTAGACTCTCTTTCTTCCAACTACCTTTTTACGGTTCTCATCAACACTAGATGGTTGAAAAGAAGAATGAAATTGAAGTCCATGTCGGCAAAGCCCTACAGGAATAGAAAGAAGTGGAAAAACGTTACATTCCAAAAATAAATAACAAAGCACCGAACTTAAGAAGTGTCTCAATTGCCAAAAATACCAGAAAGAAGATATCAATGTTGGTAATATCTGAAATACATTGCTTGATAATAATGAACCTTCCACAATTCTACCACAGTTGCTGGACCAGGGGTTCTAGTTTGTTGGGCAAATTTTTCAAGAGTGTCTTCCTGTCATACCCCATGAGGCTAGTCCATTCCCCAGTTCCAGATCCTTTTCCATCTGCATTTCATTTCTCCAAGAATAAGAATGAAACACCACAGCTATTGATTGCCTGAATGAGCCTGTCCAGGTGTACTTTTTTCTTGCCAGTGATCCAAGTCTCCTTATCATACCACTGCATTGCATCTTGTACAACGTTATCTATCAAGATATCTGAAATGGGGAGCAATAAATGCAACTCATCCAAAATGATGTGATCCAGTGGGATGTTAATAAGAGGGTGTCCTCCTTACAGGGTCACTTTCATAATGTTGTTCTGACTTGCTCATGTCGCCCCTTAAAAAAGAAGTAAATAATAGTATTGTATATGGGGCTTAAATATCATTACGTACGGAAAACATACATATGGCATGCGTACACCATGTTAAAAGAAGGTCATTATTTGGTTGTATTTGATTATATGATTATATTTTATGAAGCTGAAAATGTATCCACATAGCGATGAGAATTTGAACTCAAAACTGATTTCAAGTGTTCAAAATACAACTGTAATTTGACGATATAAATTGTTAATAATTTTATTATTATAAATAATAGTACTTTATAGTGATATTATGTAATTGGTGAAACAGTATTAAAATCACTTGAAGGTAGTATTCCTTTCAAAACGTGATGAATGTGTCAGTTATTATACCTGTCTTTCTTATGAACTTTGAACCACACGCAGGCATAGGCAGAGTTAGCAGGGCTGAGTCCAATGACCAACAGCAGAAACTAGGAGGAAATAGACATAATTTCAGAATGCAAGAGTAGGGTACAATCTCAGAGCTTCCTGTCTGATATAAGGAACACTTTTGTTCATGTATTTATGCCTTCAATTCTCCAGTTACCTCAGTTTGGTACCGAGACAAACTTTCCACAGTTATTTACCTTGTAATCACCTCCAAGAAACAGTTCGATGTCCACTCGGTTTCGTCAGTTGTTATGGAGACATTCTTTTGGATGTCATTCTCATCCTTGAACACTTCGTTTAAACTATTGGCCAATGTTCCGCTGTTCTCAGGGCCATTTACTACAGCAATGGTGTGAGTACCTTGTTTTTAATGAAAGAAATGAAATGCTTGTAAGTATTAAAAGTTAGGTTGTAATCATAACCACATAATTTGACTTGCTTGATTTTTTTTATCGACAAATACAACTGAAAATAAAGATTTCTTTGTCTAATAATGAAGATGTTTATGTTTTATTGTTTTATTATTAATTACCTTTTGATGATAACAAATCATCTTTACTCTGAAGCACTGAGCGGCTCAAGAGAATGAATTTGCTCACTCTGCTCATCCGAGCACCATCCCTACTCAACTTCACTTTTGCCTTCTCTCCTTCTTGAAGCAAATTGGCTTGTCCCTGTGGGTTTTAAATTGAAAAGGAATCGCATTACTTATGGAAACCCATTTTTTAAAAGCTATTTGTTTGAAATTTTAAATATAAGTCCTAGGTAAATTTGCTTCTGTAACAAACCCAAAATATCTTCTTTATCCAAGCCACTACATGCAGTGAAAAATTATACTTGGTACATACCATGTGTTTTATTTGTTGAATCAGTAATTCTTTAAATAAGTACGGTGCTCCAGGGGCCTTGCCTGGGGTAGACCTGATTATGCAGACACTGTTAAGGTCCATTCGACACTGTTTTATGAGGTGGGACTTTGGCATTCCATCAACTACCATTGACAACTCATGAATGAACTCATCCCAACGCCGAACTTGTCAATGAGATACAAAATGTTTTCAACCTTGGCTTTGCCATCCTCACTTAGTTTAGCATATTGTGTTCCACCCTGGAATGAATTTTGGTGTACACAATTAGACTGCTTTTCGGGTTAAGGAGTTGAAAGATTGTCAGTTAATAAGGGAGGTGGTGGGTCAACAGATGGTGTGTCTGGCAATAGGTCACGATAATAGTGTGCGACACTATTATCAGGTAAATCTTCAAAGCTTCCTTTTCTTTGCAGTATTGAATTCAACTGTGTATGTTTTGGAACTATCTGGATCCTTTAATCTTGAGCAGTCAAGCTGCAGTCCAAATAATTCCCTGAGCCTTTCGAGCCCTTCTTCTCAGTACCTTCAGTTTCTTGTTTTCGGCCTGTACTGCTTTTAGGTTTGGAATAGCTGTCCCCCTAACCTTACTGAACTGATCTTTCTCCAGTTGTCGTATATATTTTTTCATATCCTCATTTTCTTGGTTACATGAATTGGCAAGTTCTTTCTCTTGAAGCATTTCTTGTAACAGATCTTGCTTTTCTTTTTCAATGTTGCGATATTTTTGTTTCTAAAGACTAATCTCTGTCCCTGTGATGTTCAATTTCTACTCTAGCTTGCTAATATCCAATTCTCACTCTTGTACTGGGGTGATGTCATTTCTAAGTATGGCAATCTTCTTGTAGGAGTCCAAGAATTCTTGCCTTTGTGTGGGACTTCATTTCTTGTTTAATTGTGGTCTTTTAGCCTCAGCAACAATGGAGCTATTGGCAAGCAGTGTTTCTAGTCCTTGACTTCGACGGTTCAAGCGAAATGCATTTCCAGGTATACTCAAATTGACCAAGTCAATGTAGAGAATACCCTGTTGTAAGGTGCCAGAATTAACCTTTTCTCTTCTACAGTTAGAGTGCCTCCTGGTTGACTTTTAGCCAAAATACCACTTCATTGCCGCTTTCTTGTTCGAATGGATTAGATGCAAAGTAAGGTAAGTGGCACTTATGCACCTCTGTAAATTGAAAACATAATCCCGGTCAGCGACGATTTTTGACTTAAAGGCCTTCAAAATGGCGTCCTAAAGTATACCTTAAATGAATTCGCAAAACCGAACGTTTTCATGCCCCACAACGCCTCAAAACAATCCTCGAGGGGGTGTGATGAAAACAAGATGCAAAGTACCTTGTGATTTGGAAAAGATTTCATATACCGATAAACGAAAAAACTATCCCCCATATATTTTCTGTAATGAAAGGCTCGATACGAAGCAAGAAAGTTTCTAAGTGTCACGTTGCAACTGCACATGTCGATTCGATTTTTCTGGCGATTTTTTGCTGCTCTTCTGACAAGATTTGAGGACATGACGAGTGTTGTCCGTGTGACAAGTGTTAAACGTCTGAAGTGTGTTGACCCTGTGATGTGTGTTGCTCTTCTGGCGAGAGTGTTTACTCTGAGGGGTAGAGAAAACAGAGATTGTAAAGAGTGGACCTCCTGTGATGAAAGTATACCCTCTGAGGAGTGCTGTCGTCGTAGCGAGTGTTCCTTTTAAGCCAACTGTTGTTCATCTGACGAGGGTAACATTTGTGAAAAGTGTTAATTGGCCATCTGAAGAGAGTGTCCATCTGATGACTGTTGTCCCTCTTACGAGGGCTGCTCTAATGACAAGTGTTGTGCCCTGTGAAGAACGTTTCTCCCGTGATCAGTGTTAACCTTCTTTGGAGTGTTTTCCCCCTGAAAATTGTTGTCCATCTGACGAGTGTTGTCGATCTGACGAATGCTGTCCATCTGCCGAGTGTTGTACCACTGAGAAGAGTGTTGTTTTTCTGACGAAAGTCGTGCCATTTAGTTGTTGTCTCCCTGACAAATGCTAACCGCCTGACGAGTGTTGTTGTTGTGCTCTTGAAGAGTTATCTTCCAGTGATAAGCATTTACCCTCTGAAGAGTGTTGTCTCCCTGACAAGTGTTGACCACCTAGCAGGTGTTGCCTCTGGCGATTTTATGCCCTGTGGGGAGTGTTTTCCTCGGACGAGAGGTGAACCTCAGAAAAAAACAAAACGGTGCGTTTTTCTCCTCTCTTGCAGCCAGTGGCTGAATTACCTACGAACCAGAGATTGGAGGGCTACATTGTCACAGGAATCCAAACGTTTATCGTCTTAAAATGGAATGTGATGTTAATGGAAAGGCAAGGCTTGTGGTTTTTGTCACCGCTTTTTCGGTCTGTGTGTATATCGAGGAGCCGTTTGCTTTCTATTTTAGGTGGACGTAATGAATCGCCACATTTTAGTACGGTGTTTTATTGCGCCAATGTGATACATTTACAATGTCTTTCCATGTTAACTCCAAAGTTAATTCTAAATTCAAAAGAGAGTTTAAATGTCATTTGTACACTTTTCCCTTATTGTCCTTGAGTGAATATTCTCAAGGCCTTATCTGCATTCCTTAGTGCCAAAAAGGTAAAAGATCAGCAAATCCATGGAGCTAATTAACTGCCGTATGTTGACATTCTTGATGCGTAAATTGCAATGGATAGCACATGAACAATAAGGCTCTTGGTCGATTACACGGTTCTTTGTACAAACTAACGATATCAGGGAAGGGTTTTTAGAAGTTCCCATGTGCCCAGTTCGGCGCTGGAAGTTTTAACCAGTGAGACATCACTGCTGTTCGTGTTTTAAAAATTACTCAAAATGTGTCAAGACAGTAACACACACAAAGGCGCAGTCTTAAATTAAGAAAGTAATATTTAATAAAAAATATATCATATATTGTTAAAAAATTAATATACATTTTGATTCGAAGACATTGTACATAATTGTTCATTATATTAATTTGATACTAAACACTTACTGATACGTTACCGTGTACAGAGTTAATAATCGAAATTTAGGAAACCCATTTTCAGCTTGGCATTAAAAGCCTTACAGGCCAACACTATTACCCACCTTTCACTATAGATATATTCCCGTTAGAGAGTTCTTAACATACCAACACAGAGAATGAAACACAACAAAACAGAAACTACACTGTATGATCACAAAGTGCTGTGTTAACAACAGCATAAGAAAATATTATCAGCCTGCGTAGCACAGAAAAATATTCCTCGACTGAAGCCTTTCATTTAGAGGGTCTCAATGTACACTTCTGTCCACAATATCGTAACCCACATATCTTGATATTAGTGATAGGGAATTACACACAAAAAAGTACTGCGGGGACCGATGAAATAAACCCAGCGATAACGAAGAACGGGGTATAATGAACAATATTCTCCACCCCAGTTACGGAGTTTTGACATTACTCATTTTTCAGTCCACGGGTATTTCTTTTATCGGGCTTCTCTGCACATTACTGGTACAAATGATACGCTGGAACTATTTACAATATAGTCTTTTTGTTGCAAAACATTAAATACAAGTAGATAAAATATATTTGCAGGACCAAATTTGCAATGAAAATGGCAGTTTTAAAAATACCCCGAGCTCGAAGTTAGTATGAGTATATACGTCAATATGGTCGAGTTCACAACAAGGTACTTTTTACGTATCAAAGGTTTGGGAAATAACAAAGATGCATACATGGAGTTGTAGTATTACATCACACACAAACAGCTCTCGGCCGAAAGGACCAGGAGCTCCCAAACGGGAGACCTCCTCCGTTAGTAAGCAACTATTGTGGTATCATAGCCATTCCATTAAATTATACTTTTGTAAAAGCGAACTCGCTTTTAAACAGACCATAGTTAATTTTAGCTAGCCAAATTAAGGGAGTATACGGCCAACTGTGATAACGCAGGCTGCACTGCCTCCACACTGATCATCAGGCCAGTCATTCAGGTGATTAATCCTGCGACACGCTGTGAGCGTGCAACGAGCTGATGATCAGACAGTCTTTCTTAAATCAGTCTGCTGTTCTTGATGAAGTGTATAAGTGTGGTGTACACAAACCGATACTGTCCGAAGTTTGCCACTAACAGCATTCTCTGACATCGGAGATCAACCAGCGACTTCAAAACGTTTATTCGCTGCAGAAAGGGAAACAGACAGCTATGCTGTTATATTATAATGGGCATGTGTGCAGTTCTGAATTTTGACTAAACGGAAGTTGGCTTCGGCGGGGAAATTCCTTTCTGACTGATCTTCAAAGAAGTGGCGAGTTTTCTTTTAAGTAATGCGAGAAACTATTAATTTCGGATTATTTTCAAAGAATACTTTGTTTTTTGTATGAAGAATGCGGATAAATTTTCTGTCCCCGAGGGGAATTTAAAAAATGGGAATAAGACCTCACACAAGTTATATATCAAGGAAAAACAACGTTTTTTATAAAGCTCCAAAAAAAACTCAATACCTGGCAGCGCGGTTAAAGGCCGCGAAATCAGAGTCGTACATCTGCATTATTGCAACAGGGACCCTTTTTTTTAGGTATTTTGTTGCTTTGTTGCTCTGAGCGGCGTGTGATATCAAGTTGCCACTTACAACTCCCTTGACAATGATCCTTTGAGAGAGAGAGTGCCAGAGTTTTTTAAGACCTCCTGATGCCCTTGACCTACGGTTTACTTAACTACTTGAAAAACACGAACGACAATGACAAATGTATAAATGAGGCCAAGACCTGAGTGACAGCTTACCTGGTTGCTCTGGATATAGGCGAGCATGAGGTCCGTTAGTATTATCACCCCAGTCCTCCCCACACCGGCTGTACAGTGAACCATCACTGGCTCCATGTCATTTATGTGACCTTGACCTATGCTGACTTGTTGCCTTGCAGATTCTAGCTCGTCCAGAAATTCTAAAACAAAGACAATAAACAGTGGTTATTAAAAGAGTTTAGCACGCGCAGACAATTCGAAAACACACAACTCTAGCGATGTCAGACGGCCAAACCGGTATTCTAGGACACCTAGGGTCGAATTTCGTAAGGACACAGGATGTTTGTCACTTCCAAGCTCGTGGCAAGAGAAATAAGTCGTCTTTCTCAATTTTATACAAAGCTCAGTATTTATTAGTAACCGTCTACATGAAAGAAGGAAGGGCTCGTCGCAAGTCACAGAGACTCCTGCATTGAACGTTGAACCCAATCTACACACACAATGGCTCGTTTCGTCTAGGGTAGAGCATAATTGGGGACCTACTTTTTCGTTTCGATGTTGTTCTTAAAATTAAAAAAAATAAATAATCGTGAGAATATAAGCAGTATAATGCTTATTCAACTAAGCGGTATCATGTAACACTTACCAAGGAAGTTCTTGGGATCCTCAGGTACTCCATGATCCGGCCAATCCGTGAAGTGTAAATGAAAAATGAGTCTACTTTCCTTAGGCTGAGATGTCTGGCGCAAGGAAAATGTGCGCACCTTGAATGAAGTAGTATCTCTGACGGACATCGTTTCAACCTCAAATGACTCAAAGCATTTCCTACTTCCAGAATCCTCTGGCCAGTAAGGATAACAAGCATTCTTGTTATCAATCTGTTGGCAAAAGCATCATTACAGCCATTTATACACTTACATAAACTGAAATGTTTTACTTTA